CCAAAAAATGTGATGTACTCATCCAGAAATTGTGCACTCCCCAAAAAAGTGATGCCCTGCCCCAAAACCAGCTATGCTGGATGTAGCACCTGAACACACTCAGCAGTGAATCAGCAGCCTGGGGGCAGCTGTTCCAAGTTATTTTTGTTTAAATTTAAGGTATCTGATGGAATCCTCCACTCAGCAAGAGTGGCTGGAGCTTGGAAATCCACAGGGAAGTGTGGACAACATTCCCCACATGGCCCTGCCAGCCCTCAGAGCCCACCAGGCATCAGCTGGGTCAGGCAAGGGGAGCAAAACCCACAGAAACTTCACCAACTTCATCCACAGCTTCAGCTCGGACTCGCAGAGCCTGCACTGGGAACGGGTCCGTGCACCTCTCCAGGCATGGAAATCGGTGCTGGCACAAGGGCACGGATGCAGATGGAGAGGCAGGGAGCAGCCAGGGAGCAGCCAGTCCCAGCACGGACACTGTTTGCCCCCTTGGGACGCAGAGATCCCAAGAGGAGCGGGATGAAGCTCCGAGGATGTCAGGCCAGGATTGTGCCGAGCTGGAGGCGGGATGGGCTCTGGAGGCCGGGCAGAGCAGGAAGAGCAGCGGCCGATGGCTGCAGGGGGAACAGAAAGGCCGTGAGCCGCTGGCTGCCACACGCCAGGAACTGCCCTGGAGCAGAGCAGAGCCCGATGAGTCAGAGGGCTCGGACACAATGGGAAGCGCAGGCTCAGCAGGGCTGGGGACACGCAGGGACAGGGACATGCCCGGACGGGGCCTCAAGGCTGCAGCACCCTGAGCAAACCCTCCTCCAGGGCAGAGGTGGAACAGAGGGAAAAACGCGGCTTTTGCCGCGAGGGAGAGGAAGGAAATGGGTGAACTCATGGCTCTGCCATGCATCCTCCCCGTCCTGCACTTCCCACTGGCGCTGGCAGGGTACCAGGGACCACATCCCAGGCCGGCTGCTTCCCCAAGGCACCCCCACTTCCCTCCTGCCCACTGCTGCCTTCTCACTTCTGCAGCCTTTCCCGTTTTATAGATTTCCTTTTTTTAAAATAAACCCCAAAAAAGCAAACCCAGGAGAACAAGAGGAATAAAGAAATAGCCACTGGTTTACCTCCTGATCTGAGTCACCCCAATGAGGACTTGGCTGCTCCCACATTCCCCATGGGAGCTGGTGAGGGCAGGAATAACTCACACAGGATAATTACAGGTCTGAAGATGGAGGTGCTGCCTGGGCATGAGGTCCCACAGCTCACAGGGATGGGAAACACCTCCCATGGCAAACCCAGGGTGTACTCAGACATCCATCCCCCAGGGGAATTTGGGAAACATCCTCCAAAAACATCTCCACAGGCCAAAATGGTTTTGATAGAATTTCAGCCACCGCTTTCTCTACTCGTTGTCATCTTTCTTCCACTTCACATAGGAAGGTGGCTGGGAGAAGAAAACACTGAACTTGGACATAAACATGGATCACCATCACCCTGGAGGTCCTGGTCACTCCCTGGGGCTCAGACTCAGGGCTGGAAACCACAGCTCTGGCTGCCCACAGGGGCAGGAATGGGCGCTCCAGGGCCTCTGTGCTGCACAAACCTCATGCTTTGCATGGCCTCAGAAAAGAGACCTTTTTCTTTTTGTTTCAGGATGTGAAAGGAGACCACAAGACCGTGGTCCCACGGCTTCCCCAGCCCAGGATGACAGGACACTGCACCAGCAGCAAGCAGATCAAACTGGCACCATTTCAGGAGGGAAAGGCTGGGATTCCTCCCCTGGCATCCCACATGCCACACAGGCACTCAGGGGCAGTGCTGGCAACATGTGCTTGGCAACATGTGGCCAAGGAGCCACATCCACACCACCACTGTCACCAAGGAGTGTCCCCATCCCCCCGGTCAGGCTGCCAGAACACCTGGGGTTTGAATTCATGAAACCCCTGAACAGTTTGGGGTGGAAGGGAACTCAAAGCTCATGTTGTTCCACTGCCTGCCATGGCAGCGACACCTTCCACTATCCCAGGCTGATCCAAGCCCTGTCCAGCCTGGCCTTGGACACATCCAGGGATCCAGGGGCAGCCACAGCTCCTCTGGGCACCCTGTGCCAGGGCCTCACCACCCTCACAGCCAAAAACCTCTCCCTAATATCTAGTCTAACCCTGACCCCTGGCAGTGGGAAGCCATTCCCCTGGTCCATGCCCACCTCCCATGGCATCATGAGGTGGGGGGCAGGTGCAGCAGGGATGGGAGAGCCCCTGGATGTGACCTCCTGTCACTGAGCTGTCACCCTGCCGTTGTCACTGTGCCATTTGCTCCTTGGCTGGGGCTCAGGAAATGGCACAAGAGCAGCAGCAGCCACAGAACCAACCCCAGGCACCGTTTAACGGAGCTGTTTGCCCAGGCACCGGGAGCCCACCGCAGCTGGGTGGAGCAGGAGCAGATCCACAGGAATAAAAACCCTTTTCCCTAATGCTGCAGGAAAGCATAATTTTCTAAAAGGAGAATCCATTTGTCCAGGACTACATGCCACAGAAAACGATTACACAGCTGGGGAGGACACTTTCCCAAGCAAAGCCACCAGCCCTGTGGGATGTGTGGGAGCAGGTCCTGGCCTCACACAGTCCCAGGGGCTCTGCAGCAGCACCAGGAATCACTCATGGATGGCCAGATCCGAACACCAGCCCTCCTTCTGGCAGCTACCCTGTCCTAGAAAGGGACAAATACCCATGGAGCATCACGGGTTCTGCAGTTTGTGACTGATACCATGACAAGAAGCCATCAGTGATTGATGTGGCTGGTGCTGAGCTGGCATTGCACACTGTGCTCCCTCCCGGACCGCGCGCCCTCGATCCAAGCGGAACTGGAACAGCTCCACCGGCTGTCACAGCCAGGAGTGAGCAGCCCAGCAAAGCCCCAGAGGCACCACGGGATGGTGACACTGCCACTGCTGTCACCAGAGGGACAGGGCAGGCCAGAGGCAGCCTCCAGGGCTGTGGGGTGACCCAGCACAGGAACACCACGGCTCTCCCAGGAAAATCAAGTGTGACCTCCACACCCACGGCCCACACAGTTTCCCATCGCTTGAGCTGGTGTTGAAACCACACCAGAAAATAATCCACAATTTAAGCCTGACTTCAGGCAAACATCTCAAACTCCCAAATGTCTCTGCCTGTGACACCAAACTGGCTCCCACAGCAGCAGCACAGGGAGGTTTCCTGCTCTCTCTTGTGAGGACACAACCAAGTCTCAGCAAGGCGAGGCCCAGGGTGGGTACTGAGCTGGGATTTGGTGGATTTGGTGTTGCTGGTTCCCACCACAGCCAGCCTGGAGGCAGAGCCCAGGGATGAGCTCTGCTGTGGAGAGCTGAGACAGATTTGGGCTGGCATGGCAGGAGGGACTTCCAGGGATAGGAGTTCTCCAGAGCACCTACAGAAGAGCCTGTCACAGCCAGACTTCTCCAAAGAGCCCCTGAGTTTAATGGAAGTGGCACCAAAACACTATCTCTCCAAGGAATCAGGACAAATCCAACTGGAACAAACAGGACAGGTGAGAGAACAGAGAGGTTGGCAAGAAGCAGGATCACAACCTCCCTCGCATCCCATTTCCCACGAGGGCTCCACACCCTTTCCTAGCTCAGAGCAGGCAGCCACCAGCTTCTCCAGACACGGTGGAGCTGAGCCCCAGTAGGATCCCATCCCCCCTTCCCAAAGCCCTTTTTTCTCCCCAAAAAGCAGCTGTTTGACGTGGTGGCTCCGGGGACAGGTGGCCCCTCCCTGCTGCCCTGGTTAGCGGCGGTTTCCTCTCCACAGCTGCAGAGCAGCAGCAGTTGGGCTTTACATCCCCTCGCCGGGTGCAGCGGGTGACGGGAGGTGACGCAGGGGGTGACAGGACCCAGCCCCCTCCCACGAGGTCCCTGTCACCCAGGGACAGTCACAGCTTGAGCAATGTGGGCCCAAAGCTCAGCACAGCAGAGCAGCAGCCAGCAGGGAAGAAAAGGCAGAACTTCCTCCCTTCTGGAGAAAAGATCTGAGCCCTGTACAAAAGGAAGTGCTGATACTACATGTCCTGTAGATAAAACACAGTTATTCCATCAGCTCCAAACCCTTGGGAAAGGCTGATCCCTTCTGCATCACCCCCACCACCAAGCAGGGCGCCAGAGTGTCCCAGTGTGACACCATTCCTTTGTGCTTTGGGACATCATCTCCATCACTGCTGGGATTTGGGGATCTTTTCCTCGTTTTGCTGGAATAAGAGCTTCCATCAGGGAAACCACGTTGGTGTAAACATTCCAGTAAATCCCTTCCTGCAGGCCACTGGGTAATTAAAGAGCTCTTCTCATTACAAGGTAACAAATAACACGTGTGGTTTGACAAATTAGATTCTCGTGTTCGCTAATCATCGCTGCGGTGCTCGGCAAGCCAGGACAGTGTTTTAGGATGTGGGAAGTTTGCAAGGAATTCTCTTACTGGAGATAAAGGGAGCCTGAACTCAGAGCAGGTGCAGAAAACTCCTGGGAGCCTGCAAACGAGGCTCCTCCCAACCCACCAGCGTTTTAGAGAAAACTCAGCCCACAGTAACTCCTGCCTCTGTCACAGACCCAACTTCCACAGCTGCTTCCACCACAGAAAAGTGAGGATTCCTCCAAAATTCCTCCTCTAAGCCACCACTGTGCTCCAAGAGGCAGAAACACCGACAGCCACAAGGAACCTGCTCACCAGAATAACTTGAAGGTGTCAAACTTGAACACTGCTGATCTTTACACCGGAAAAGCACGGGTGAGAACAGCAGGCAGAACGATTTTGTACAGGCACCTTTTATCTGTGCAGGAACCACGACAGCGCCAGCTCCTGGAATGAGCCTCCCAGGAAGGAAGGAATCTCCCAGATGCTCTGGGAATGACACAAGAATCACAGGATGAATGAAGAACCCACCATCTGAAACCCATCTCCCGTGCCAAAGTTTTATTGACCAGCCGGTCGAGCCACTCGCAGTTTTCCCGTCCGTCTCGGAGGTTTCAGCGCGGTGCCCTCGGGCGGGCTCGCACCAGCACACGCCCCCCGCGCTGCTCCGGGGCGGCCCCGCTCCATTCCCCGCCTCCCCGGGCCGCACACGCCGCCAGCCCACGGCTGTCCTGCCGGAAGGCGCTGTCACACACCTCGGCTGCCGAGTCCGAGAAGCTGTTCGGTGCACATGAGTCACAAGCACACCGCAGACAGTCCCTGTGTGGTGTTATCCCAGCCCCTCTTCTCCAGAGCTCTGCCAGGGGACAGATCCTGCGCTCAAAGATCTCACGATGGGAACTTCTGTCGAGAGATTTTCACAAAGATGACAGATTTTTAAGCGGCCTGGTTTTGTTCAAGAGCTGAGCCTGCACGTTGTGTCAGCACAATATGCAAAATATTTTCTTCACGCTTCATCAATTAACCCCAAAATGATCAAAGCAATCCTGGCAGCTGCTGAGTATCACATCTAGAGACTGGTTTTGGGAAGAGGGTGGCACAGCAGAGCCCACGGTGCCAAAACCAGCACTGGGCATTTTATTTTTGTTAGTTCGATGCCTCCAAACTCCAGTTTGGAGATCCCACCCCACCAGCACATGGAAGTGGAAGTGTGAAGCTCAAAGGTAGTGCTGAAGAGGAGGGCTGGCACCTGGAGCACCAGGTTTGGGAACAAAGCAGCTCCTTTGTACAGCAGGGATCCAGGCTGTGATTCCACAGGGACCCTAATTTCACAGTCAGTCTGAGCTCCACCTCTGGAATGCTCACGCTGCGCCAAGAAAACAGCAGCTCTGGGAATTCCTGGCAGCAGTTGCTGTGCTGGTGCCATGAACCATTCCAGTGGAAGGTGTCCCTGCCCATGGCAGGGGGTGCAATGAGACGAGCTTTAAGGTCCCTTCCCAAGAACCCAAAGCCAAAGGGATTCCGTGCACCTACCGTCCGCTTCCTGTGGATGTTCACGATGTGGATGTCTTCGCTCCGATACTCCTCATCGTGCCTCTCCAGGGGAATTTTTTCCAGCTCGAAGTCTCTCTGAAGCAGCTGTTCCACAAAGAGCAGTTCCACAAAGGCCTCCACAACCATTCCAGACATTCCCCCTCATGCAGCACTTCACCCTCATTTAAACTGCTCCAGCACTAACTCAAAGCTACAGGCACCTGCAATACTCCAGAAAAATCTATTTAAGCTTGTGGCAAAACATTCCTGGAGGGATTTACAGACTGTGTGGATTTGACACCTGGGGACATGGATTAGTGGTGGCCTTGGCAGTGCTTGGGGGATGGCTGGACTTGATGATCTCAGAGGACTTTTCCAGCCTAAATGATTCTATGAATCCATGATTTTGCTTCAATCCCTGAAATGCTAAGGCAAACCACAGCACCTGCCCATCTGCCAACCTTCTAAACTGAAAGGGAGAGGGGAGAAAAAAGCCAGTCTAAAATCCCTCAGCATCAGCTCTGGGATGTGCTCAGATTGCCTGGGCTGAACCTGGCAAGGAAGGAAATAATTCACAAAAACACCCCCAGAAATCAGCCAGAAAAACCAACACCTCTTTACTGTGGGAGCAGCACCTCAGCAGAGCTGAGCACAGCCTTCCTCCCTGCCACAGCACCCACAAGAGTGTGAGACACTAATTATCTAACAGGTACTTCAATTAACATGTACCAATCCCCTGGAATTCTCACCCTTTCTGTTTTTATACAATATTATAGTTATTACATATAATCCTGCCCAAGAGCTGCTTCTCAACAGTTACCACAGGTGCAGAGTTAAATCTGCACTGACCATCATCCCCCCACAGGTGTTCCCTGTGTGGCTTCTCCTCATCTGCACACCAGATACAGCTGGACTATTCAATTAAAACATCTATTAATGGGCTCTCATTAAAGAGAAGGAATTTTTTCAGAAGCACCTCTATCACTCAGGAGAGAGTTTTGAGTTCCTGAGCAAAACTTTGTATTTTCCCTCTGCTTTCCATGGAACAGCCTAAAAGAAAATGTGCTTAAAAACCACTTACTTCAAAGTATTTTCTCTCAATTTCAGGGTTCTTCCCCATAGTCCTCTGTTCATAGCAGCACAGGACACAAGTGTCAGGGCCTGTCAGGTCCTTCAGGGTCTTCAGCAAGGGCTCCAAGGACTGCCAAAAAAAGGTTAAACATTTCCCGCATGGATTTCAAGTTCATTTCACTGGTTATGATACCCTCTAGCTAAAGTCTTCACCCAAGAGAGAACCTCCCAGTTTTGCTCTGCAGGGAGTTATTTTTAGTACTTTAACTGGGACAGGAAGAACATGGGGGGAAAGCTGGGAAGCAGAGGAGAAAGGGGGACTCACAGGAGAAGAGTTTTCCAGACTGACCAAGAAAACTGAACTGGAATACAAGCCAGAAACATCCCACACTGCTGAGTGGGCACTTCCTTGGGGCAAACAACAATGAGGATTCCTCAGTGTGTTTCAAAAGTGAGAGTTTTCTCAATTATTCCTGGAGAATGGCTCAGATCCAGACCACAATGGAGGGAAATGGAACCAACAGGCAGGGACTCAATGCCAGGGGCTGGTAAAGCCACTGGAAGGGCACTGGCACATGGGGTTTTTCAGGTTATTTCCCTTTTCCTGCAGCTTCCCTCAGCTCTCTGTGCACATCCTACAGAGCTCCAGCAGAGGACACGAGGCAGACTACAACAACCACTCACCTCTAGCAGGATTTCTCCTCTTGCCTTCCCAAGGAAAGCTTTAGGAGAACCCAAACAACAGATGTAGCACTTTTAAATGTCATTTACCAATTCAACAGTTCACATTATGCTTCACCATTCCCAATGTTAAAAAAAAAAAAAAAGAAAAAAGGGGGGAGAGCACAAATATTCAATTTGGGATTTTTCACATAAAAATAGTCTCTGATTCCATGTCAAATAGCCTTACATGTATTAAAAAGGCCTTTTCCAGTCTTTTCTACATATTCCTATAAACCCCAGGGACCTTGACATGAGCACAATATTTACGTGAACTTCATACTGAACACACTGATCCCACCCCCTTCCCAAGAAGGCTTTCTGTAGGGGTTTAACAAAATCCTCATTTACCTCCTCATAGTAAATGCAATCAGCCATGAGTATATAATCAGGGGGAGGCTGAAATTCTGTTACATATTCACCCCTAAAAAGAACAAACAAGAACAACAAAAAGTAAAAAGAAGCTTAAGTAATAACACATACTCAAGGACTGAGCATAAGCTACTGTGTTGTCATATTAAGTTTCCCTCCCACAGCAGTGTTTTGAAATTATTTAGCAATTTAATAAAGCCAGTGCATAATCACAGAATCCCAAAATGGTCTGGGTTGGAATGGACCTTAAAGCCCATCGATTCCACCCCTGCCATGGGCAGGGACACCTTCCACTATCCCAGGTTTCTCCAAGCCCTGTCCAGCCTGGCCTTGGACCTCAGGGATCCAGGGGCAGCCACAGCTGCTCTGGGCACCCTGTGCCAGGGCCTGCCCACCCTCAGAGCCAGGAATTCCCAATTCCCAACATCCCACCTAAACCGACTCTTTTTCAATCTGAACCCCGAATCCCCGTTAAAGCTGAACAAAGACATTAAATAAAGGCTCATACAAACCATTTCAGTACCTTGGCTCGGACGGACCCTGTGACCAGGTGCTTGTTATTCTCAATATTAACCATCAACAGCTCCTGCAGTTCCTCCAGGTCTGTGACCGTCACATTGGCCCTGTAAAACACACGTGGTTAGGGAATAACGCAGGGGACACTGCGCACAGCAAAGAAAATAGGATTTAAAGGAATCGAAAGGGTCTGAGGGACAAGAGCGCCGGGCAGGGTCTCCCGCTCACCCCAGCGTGGCTGCCATGATGCCGACGGCGCCGGTGCCCGCGCCCAGCTCCAGGACGTGGCGGCGGGCGAGGGGGCAGGCGCCGGTCTCCAGGAACTTGGCGAGCACCAGCGCAGCGTCCCACACCACACAGCCCACACCTCCGGCCGTGCGCTGCTCCAGCCGCAGCGCCGGCCCGGCCCGCCGCTCCAGCTCCCTCACGAAGGCCGCCATGGCCGCGGCTCTGAGGCGGCGCGGCCCCTCCTCATCCTCGCCCCGCCCCGGCAGGACATGGCGGGCGGGCCGTGAGGGAGCGGCGCTTCCCGCCAGCTCTGAACGGCGGGGGCGGCTGGGCTCCCTAGGTGTTATAAACAGCTATGTAATAGTCGGCTTTCGCTACAGTTTATTCGCTTTTATTAAAAACTGTATTTTCTTGCAAACAATTATGGTGAGTTTTAACTGCTCTTAAGGAATAGTAAAATTTGTAATCGCTTTTAGGCAGTGTAACAGTGGTGGGGATGTGCATATAGCAAGGCTATTACAAGAAGCATGCTTGCGAAAAGCGTATCACAAGATATTTTGCTATTGCAAAATGTATATCGAAAATAGCATAGGCAGAGAACAGGATACCGTAAAAAGAAAACACCAAGACAAAAGTGGCATCAGAAAACCATGGGAAGACCACCCTGAACTGCCTTCATGATAGATGTGACAGTGAAATGCTGTGGCAACCTGAGGCGGAATTGTGGTAAACGAACTCCGAAAATCTGCAGTGTCATTTGAGGAAGTAATAGAATAAAATAGACTAAAATTAACTGTAATAAAATAAAAGATTGCTCGCTGAAAAAGCGGGTGTGCCTCTGGCATAGCCAGGCGCCCAGCGCTGTAATTTTTGCTTTATTGATTGTTCCTCGTTATCTTTTATTATAAAAAAAGTGTTTAAATTTTTAAAAGATCAGGCTTCGTTTCTCACAGTGGGCATGGAGGCTTTTCCAGCCGAAATGATTCCAGGATTCTGCCAGCCGTGTCCCTGAGGGAGCGTGGATCTCTCCTGACCAGCTCCAGCCTGAGGAGCCTCCTGAAGGTTTTGTTACTGAACACCCTCACACAACTTACAAAAGGTCTTAAACCCACAAAAAAATGCCTTAATAAACTTGCAAAAAAGTTTTAATAAACCTACAAAAAAGTTTTAATAAACCTACAAAAGTCTCAGTCTGTAAAAAAGGTCCTAATAAACATACAAAAAGGCCTTAATAAACTTTCTTCATAAATCTACGAGAAAGGTCTTCATAAAGCTATGAAAAGGGTTTTAATAAACCTACAGAAAAGGTCTTAGCCTACAAAAAGGTCTTAACAAACCTACAAAAAGGTTTTAATCAACTGAATATGAGTTGATTCTGCCTTGACATCTTGAAATGCAAAGGTTTTAGATATTTTTCCCCCCCTTGGATATGTGGAAGATTTTTTATTACTTTATTTCTTTATTTCTTTTAGACCATTGTGAGGCCTCTTGGTGGTCAGCAGATTCCCCCTGAGGGGAGGCTCATCTTCCTTGGAAGAAGTTTTCTGAGGGAATTGCCTTTTCCCACACAAACCAACTTCAAACCCAAACTTCACGTTTTTCCCCTCCAGCAGTTTTTTTGTTGTTCCTTTTACCTACCCCTCTAATTATGAAGTAACTGAAATGTTAATTATTGCTCTCTTGAACCATGCTGGTGGGAATCTCACTGCCTTTGACCACTTTCCATGGCCATGTTATGATATATTTCACTGTGGAATATTCAAAATAGTTCTGGCATAAGCACTTGTACAGGAAGGCATAAAGCTGACATCTGTATATTCTAAAATGTGGTAGAGAATTTTTTTCTTCTTCAACAACACATGAAAGTCTGAAAAAATATTATTCCTTGTTTAGCAACAGCTGCTGGTGGGAACTTCAAAAGAATTAATGCAAAGAATCCACAAAAAATTTTCCACTTTTTCAAGTCATCGTCCATTTCCTACCTGCACTCCCAGTTCATGCATATCAAGTTTGGGACTTCTTGAACTTTATTTAAGCAAAATGAAGCAGCTCTCCTATAGAAAATGTGTTTTGCCCCTTGTGTGAATGGATTCCAGCCCTTTCTTCTTCCTGACAGGAGCATGTAGAGGATAGGCAGCAGGAAAAAACTGTAAGAGACAGATGGAAAAATAAAACTCCCATAAAACTGTGGGATTCTTGGGGTGATCCTGTACAGGGCCAGGAATTGGGACTCGATGGTCCTGATGGATCTCTTCCAACTCAGGGTATTTCTAATAAATATCCCTCCTCAGTCATATCTCCTTTCCAAAAAGGAGAATTTGGAAACAGAATGCCCAAGACAGTGGGAGCAGCTTAGAAGCTGGAGTGAGATTTGGAAGTCTGGGACGGGCCCGACTCTCACAGGCAGAAGGAAAGCCAGAGTGAGACTGGCAGAATGGAAAATTGGGGCATCTTCTTTGTCAAAAATGCAATTCCCAACCTTGTCTTTGCAAGGAACACGCACTGCTCAAGCTCTTAAAAATTAAGACTGGGGTGATTTATTAATCTTGTTAAGAACTCTGATACAAAGCACAGTAAAAGGCCACATACCAGTAAATAAAATGTGGCTTGTGAAGGCCAATTTATAAATGCTGCTACAGAACTACCAGTACAACAGACTCACTCTTGCACCAGCTCAAACACGGGGGTTCAACTGGCTTAAAAGAAAAGTTCCATTCACTTATCAGTTTAAAAAGTTTAATAAAGCTTTAAGTGTTTGCTGGTTTAAATGCTACCAATTTCCAAAGTGGATTCACGAGTTAAGTGTAGATCTAAAGGAAGTTATTAGGTCTGGAAGGCAAGACTGTTCCCAAGCCAGAGGAAACGCTGCTGGCCGGATCCAATCCTGGGAGTAGCAGACTGTGTTATAGGCCTCGAAGTCAACTTCAATTTATACATGTCATTAGCATATCTGTAAATATACAATATAAACAATTGTACAGGCGCATAGCTTTGTTCTCCACAACAGCAGACAAACTCTTTAGCTTAAGACACCTTCGCCTATCGAAACAAAAAAGGCACATCTGAACAGGATGCACGTGAAGTACTCGGGATCCTCCCCGATATCTGAGACGAGTACTCCTCCTTCATCCTTTCTCCAAAGAACCATGACAAACCGAATATTTTGGTATTTAGATTTCAACCTATTTTTTTTTTCTTTGTCTTCAGCAGCAAATCAATGGCAATTAAGACATGGCATGAGAATATTCCAGAACAGGAGCTGTCACTTAGGAACCTCAAGGCAAGTGGTCAGAGGTTTCAAATCTGTGACGCTCTGTATCCTTGTGTTGTTTGATCATCCCATTGCTGGGTTTCCTTAATTAAAAAAAAAGGCCACTAATGCTCAAATCTGAAAAAAATATTCCACAGACGCACCTTTTTTTGGCTCAGTGCAATTAAAAGATGTCAGTTTAAATTCACTTAGTGTAGTTTACAGTGCAAAAGGTCTATTTTGTGTCCTGGCAGAACGGTCGGCACTGAGGACGTGAACCAAGGCAATGCTGCTGCTCACCTGAGGGTTAACGCTGTCCAACCACACAGGTTGGAATTGTGTATAGTCTGAATTTTTTCCAATTTAAACCTTTTTTTTTTTTGATCAGCAGCACTTTAAGAGCGTAATTTGTGAAAATACTAAAATACACTGCCTTTTTTTTTTTTTTTGAATAAATAAAAAAAAAAAAAAAGAGGAACTTTACAAATAGTATTCCAGTGTCAATGACTACTATGGCTAAGGTCATTGAGGAGTTTCTGCATTTTCTAGCAAAGACAGTCTGTGCAAAGGAGGGTGGGAGAGCTCCCTTTTGTAAGTCTTTGGTGGCAGTTTTGGTAGCTGAGGGCTGGAGTTGTGCCGTGGCGGCACAGGGGGCACGGGTGGCTGGGCCAGGTTGTTGTGGCTGGCGCTGAGGATGCAGCAGCGGCGCAGCACCCGGGGAGAGGGGGTGCTGGGAGGGGTGCCCGGAGAGCTGGGCCCGGAGCCGGCCTCCCGCAGCCGCTCGGGATCCCGGGGGAAGCGTCCCAGTGGCGGCGGCTGCAGGCTCAGGGGGCAGTTGATGAAGTGCTCGGGCGGCCGGAGCGGCACCGGCGGCGGGGTGTCGGGGACAGGGTCCCTGGGGGGAGGAGGAGGAGGGCTGTGAAGGGGCTGCTCCAGGGGGGTGCTGTAAGCAGGAACGCGAGGTTGGATCTTTGGAGGCGGCGGCTGCCGAGGTGGGATTGCTGGAGGATCGTCATCCGACTTGGAATTTCCCTGCGGTGTCATGGAGGAAAAGGAGATGTAAGAAATGGAGAGCACAGAATCCCTGAATGGTTTGGGTTGGAAGGGAGCTTAAACCCCATCCCATTCCTCCCCCTGCCATGGCAGGGACACCTCCCACTATCCCAGGTTCTCCAAGCCCCATCCAACTTGGCCTTGGACACTTCCAGGGGCAGCCACAGCTTCTCCAGACACACTGTGCCATGGCCTCTCCACCCTCACAGCAAGGAATTCCCAATTCCCAACATCCCATCTAAACCTACTCTCCTTCAGTTTAAAGCTATTTCCCTTGTCCAGATGTTTGGATGAAGAGCAATCTTCAGACAGGTGAGGAATTCTCCTGACCCCTGCCAGTGGTGCTGCTGGAAACATGGCAGCTCTACTGTTGATGGGAATATGGACACTATGGTCCTGAAATTCCTAGCAGAGTTTGGACACTGGGAATCCAAAACTTTAAAAAAGGAAGCTGGAGCTCTGCATCTCAAAGTCTTTTAGGCTGACAGAGCCTTGCTTGGATCGATGGTCAGACTTGAAAACCTTAAAAGGTCTTTTCTGAACTAAATGCTTTTAGATATTCCCTGATTTATCCTCAAAGTTACTCAATCCAGGACAGCAATACCTTAGCATTGGAAGCATCCTGATCCATCTTTTTCCGTGGAGGAAGTGGAGGAGGGTTCTGAGGCTCATCACTCAGTTTAGGGAAGCTCCCCCAGGAGCTGAAGAAAGTCTCTGGAGAGGGAAAAGCAGATCTTTTACCCCTTGTGCAATATCTAAGGAACATATTCTGGAATATCAAGCCAAACTTGAAGCAACTCAAATAAGATCTTTGTGCTCCACAGCAACATGAACCAGGAACTCCAGGAGTAAGAAATCCTTTAATTCATTCTTTAATCAGATCTAGCCTCACAAAGTGTTTGTTCTCCTATGTCCAGTATCAAAGATAGGCATCAGCTATCAGCAGGCAACGCTGAGGGACAGGAAAATAAATCCAGGGAGTGATTTTTTACAGAGGGAGAAAAAAATCCTCAAATTAAAACACAACAATTGGTGATTTCTGTCACACCTTTGCTTTTCCTCTTAGGAGTGCCCTGAGCTCTGTGTCTGCATCAGGCCTGTGCTCTCCAGCTGGGAATTAATCATATTAAATAAAAGGTATGTGGAATAAAGAAAAAGAACAGCTGAAAACGCAGGTGAATGCAGGATATCCCTGACAGGTGTGGTACAAGAAGTGTCTCTTCCTTCCCAGCAACAGAGCAGTTATTTTCACTAAGTGGAATTAGGAAATTATCAAGTTGTTTTATTTGTAGCTTTAGTCAAACAAAATAATCATCAAGGACATTCAAATTAGAAGGAAAATCACCTGAGAGCCTGGAGATAAAAACCCAACCCAAACTAAACCAACAGTTTAAGTTTTAGGCTTTACATTCTTTACATCTGGACATCTGATCTAAGAGGAACCCTTCTGAATGCAGCCCACATCCTCATCCCAGATTTCAGATTTTAATCCCCACTGAGCTCTCCTGAAGCCAGGGAAGGCAGAGTTAAATATTTAACAGAGTTCCAACACTCACTTGACTGAGGCAAGTTCACAGGAGCGAAGATGCTGTTGTTACCTGGGAAATAGAAAAATCCATTAAACCATTTCCAGACAGAACCACTGCACTGCAGCACAGAACGAATGCTTGAATACCCTGAGAGATCAGAAAAACCCTCAAGTTTACATGAATGAAAATTTCCCCTTGTAAAACATTCCCCAACTGGAGAATTTAAGTCACGCTGGCAATTAATTTAATTACTTCAAAGTTTGAAATTTATTTTTTTTAAAAGGCTGGCACACCCCCCAATACCTTTGTGGAGCCTGAGGGACAGCAATAACCATTATTAAATGTATGTACCGTAAGAACTGTTGAGATCAATGTCTAAGAAGACGCTGAACTCCGAGGACGCCGACACGGGCGGTGTTGACGGGGTGTTGGGGGAGGTCGGTGCCGATGCCGTGGTTTCCTGCTCGGACTCGGTGATCCTGCTGAAGCTGATCTTGCTGGGCTCCTTCTCCAGGGGCAGAGGGTGGCTCCTCAGGGTGCCAGAGGCGGAGCCGTGCCTGCCCGTGTTGGGCCTTATCCCCGGGGATTTCAGGGGATACGTTGTTTTCCTGGGCTGGAGACAGGGAGCTGTTAGCACTGCAAAGTTCTACACTGCAGCGTTCCCAGGAACTGCAGCGTTCCCAGCACTGCAGCGTTCCCAACACTGCAGCATTCCCAACACTGCAGCATTCCCAACACTGCAGCATTCCCAGCACTGCAGCATTCCCAACACTGCAGCGTTCCCAGGAACTGCAGCGTTCCCAACACTGCAGCGTTCCCAGCACTGCAGCATTCCCAACACTGCAGTGTTCCCAGCACTGCAGCATTCCCAACACTGCAGCGTTCCCAGCACTGCAGCATTCCCAACACTGCAGTGTTCCCAGCACTGCAGCATTCCCAACACTGCAGCGTTCCCAGGAACTGCAGCATTCCCAACACTGCAACATTCAACACTGCAGCATTCCCAAAACCACAACATTCCCAACACCGCAGCATTCCCAACACTGCAGCATTCCCAACACCGCAGCATTCCCAACACCGCAGCATTCCCAGCACTGCAGCGTTCCCAGCACTGCAGCGTTCCCAGCACTGCTGCCATTCCCTACTGCAGCATTCCCAAGGCTCTGG